AAGATAGCAAGATCCCATCTCTAAAAATTGAAAAAGATTAGCCAGGCATGGTAGTGTGCACCTATCGTCCCACCTATTTGGGAGGCTGAGGTGGAAGGATCGTTTTTCATTTCAACAGGTGTTTGTCGAGCATTCATGCTTGGGTGCTATGAGAGATGGAAAGAAGAATAAGACAGTGCCTAACTAATTGACTTACCCTTGAAAGAGTTTTATCTCAGTGTCTCGTACTTCAGCATCCACTTCTGTCCAGTGAGAATTAACCTTCAGGTTGACGACTTTGAGTCTCTGTGGAATTCTCAGTGATCAAATAGCATACATATTTTATACTAGATATAATTAAGAAAGATGCTAGGATATCTCAGAAATGTAACAAATATATGGAGCAAACTTTTCAAATTAACACTAAGATAAAATTTATTAAACTAACAATTTTATGTAGCACTTTAGAGTTCACCATGTGACTTAGCATATTTTCTTTCATTTAATCCTAATGATATCCCTGTGATTTAGATACTCTCTATATTTTACAGATGGTGGACACAGGCTTCCAAATGGTAGCTGACTTGCACCAGAATGCATATAGGTTGGACTCAAATTTAGGTGTTCTGAATTCTGATCCTGTGCTTTTACTATATAAAAACACCATATTCCTTAAGGATTCAAAGTAGTTGATGTTCTGCTGCATGTTTTAAGATATTTTGGAGGGTATAACATTATCTAGTAAAAAGGCTTTTTCATTATAAACTCTCCATAGTTAACAAAAATCAATAGAAGAAATAAATAAGAATTTGTGAGAGGTTAAACTCAAATTTAGATCTACATTTTTGGCTAAAAGGGAATTTTTCTTTTTTCAAACTATTAAAAACCTTTAAATATGTTGTACTGATCTTAAATATGTTGTACTGATCTTCAGGACTGTGATCTCTGACCATAATAGTGGGAATACATTCAGAAAATTCAACAAGTAAATGATACTTTTTTGCCTACCCTTTATATTAATTTCTTAATAAGATATCACAGGTGTTAACATGGTATAAGGAATTCACTCACAGATACTGATTCAAAGATTCAAACAGCACACTGGGGAACAACACTAACACAGAATTTGAGTGATCAGTTATGGGTCTCGGTTAACTTATTAATTTGATTATTGATTTTTTTTCCATTCTTTCTTTCCATAGGTTTGTAAAAGAATGGACTTGGTCTGCCAGAGAATGTTGAATCAGGGATTTCTGAAAGTAGAGAGATACCATAATCTATGTCAGAAACAAGTTAAAGCACAACTCCCAAGGTATGTTATGACTAGCAGTGACAATAATTTACCGTTGAGGGTTTTCTGAAAGTAGAGAGATACCATAATCTATGTCAGAAACAAGTTAAAGCACAACTCCCAAGGTATGTTATGACTAGCAGTGACAATAATTTACAGTTGAGGGTTTTGTTTTTTTGTTTCTTGATTTTTTTTTTTTTTTTTAATCTCAGGGTTTACATGGTCATTGATTTTCAAGTTTTTGTAGCAAAAGGCACACAGATCACAATGTGCTTTCTATTGTGGTTTGTCCACTCTCACCATTTTGTTGAATATTTTACTGGAGGTTCTAACCAAGGAAATTAGGCAAGAAAATGATATAAAAGGCATCCAAATGGGAAAGGAAGAAGTAAATCTCTCTCTCATATACAGATGATATGATCTTGTATGTAAGGAACACACTAATTGATTATTAAGGCTGATAAGTTCAGCAAGGATAGAGGATATAAGATTGATTTACAGAAATCAATTGTATTTCTCTATACTAGCAATGAA